AAACCCACTGATCTGTTGCCTACAAGAAATACACTTCAACTGTAAAGGTACACATAGACTGAAAGTATAGGGATAGAAAAAGATATTCCATGCCAATGGAAACCAAAAAAGAGGAGGAGTAGCTATATGTATATCAGACAAAATAGATTTCAATGCAAAAACTATAAGAGACCAAGAAGGTCACTATATAATGATAAAGGGGTCAATTCAGCAAGATGATACAATTTAAAAGACGTATGTACTCAATACTAGAGTACCAAGATCAATAAAGCAAATATTATTAGAGCTAAAGAGAGACATAGGCCCCAATACAGTAATAGCTGGAGACTTCAACACACCCACATTCAGCATCAGACAGATCTTCTAGACATAAAATCAAGAAAAAAAAACATTGGATTTAGCCTGCACTATAGACCAAATGGATCTAATAAATATTTTCAGAACATTTCATCCAAAAGCTGCAAAATACATATTCTTTTCCTCAACACATGGATCATTTGCAAGGATAGACCGTATGTTAGATCACAAAACGAGTCTTAAAACATTCCAAAAAAAGGAAATAATATCAAGCATCTTCTCTGACTATAATGGAATAAAACTAGAAATCAATAACGAGAAGAATTTTGGAAACTATACAAACACAAGGAAATCAAACAATATGCTCCTGAATGACCAATGGGTCAATAAAGAAATTAAGAAGGAAATTGAAAAGTTTCTTAAAACAAATGATAACGGAAATACAACATACCAAAACCTATGGGATACAGTAAAAGCAGTACTAACAGGGAATTTTGTAGTCATAAGTGCCTACATCTTACTCCAGTTAAAATGGCTTTTATCCAAAAGACAGGCAATAACAAATGCTGGCGAGGATGTGGAGAAAAGGGAACTTTTGTTCACTGTTGGTGGGAATGTAAATTAGGACAACCACTATGGGGAACAGTTTAGAGGTTCCCCAAAAAACAAAAAATAGAGCTACCATATGATCCAACAATCCCACTACTAGGTATACATATCTAAAAGAAAGGAAATCAGTATATTGAAGAAATTTCTGCACTCTCATATTTGTTGCAGCACTATTCACAATAGCCAAGATTTGGAAGCCCAACCTAAGTACCCACCAACAGATGAATGGATAAAGAAAATGTGGTACATATACATAATAGAATACTATTCAGCTATAAAAAAGAACGAGATCGTGTCATTTACAACAACATAGATCGAACCAGAGATCATTTTGTTAGTGAAATAAGCCAGGAACAGAAAGACAAACATTGCATGTTCTCACTTATTTGTGGCCTCTAAAAATTAAAACAATTGAACTCACAGACATAGAGTGTTGGGGGGATGGTTACCAGAGGCTGGAAAGGGTAGTAGGGGCAAACGGGATGGTTAATGGGTACAAAGAAAAAAATAGGATGAATGAATAATACCCAGTATTTGATAGCACAACAGGGGGACTATAGTCAATAGCAACTTAATTGTATATTCTTAAATAACTAAAAATGTATAATAGTATTGTTTGTAACATAAAAGGTCAATGCTTGACGGGATTTAGTCACCATTCTCCACGATATGATTAGTACTCATTGCATGTCTGTAACAAAAAAATCTCATGTGCTCCATAAATATATACACCTACTATGTACCCACGTATTTAAAAAATTTTAAAAATAAAAGTAAAACATAAGAGATCATACTATAATAAGTCTCAGGATGGTGATGACTAATAAGTGAATGCAGGTAAAACATTTAGAAAGCATGCCTCACACATATTAGTTGTGGTTGTTACAATTATTAAAATAACTTTTTGTTCCCCTAATGCAATTGTAGCATGGTCTCTTTTCTTTAAAGACGACACAGACTGTATCCATTCTCGTGCTTGTAATAATTTTTGTAATCTAGAGCAGGGTCAGGAAACTATGGCCTCTAGGTCAAATCAAGCCCACTGCCCTGCATTTGTAAATAGTTTCGTAAATTAGTTTTATTGAACACAGCCATACTTATTCATTTACATATTGTCTGTGGCTGCTTTTGCACTACGATGGCAGAGCTGAATAATTCGTACAGAGATTATATTATTATCTGGCTTTAACAGAAAATGTCCGTCAACCCCTGATTCTGAGTAAAACAAAGTTTCAAAGTTTATTTGAAAAGTCAGTGAATGACAGGATGGGAATCTGTACTCAAAGACAATCGTTTTTCCTCTGTCTCTACTGCTGGTTGCTATGGGGATTCAAACGAGTCACATTACCTTCCCACAACTCAAATTCTTCATTCATAAAAATAAATACCCACACATATAAGAAGGTAATCATAATTTTCTGACTTATATAATTAGTGTATATTTTAAGTATAACAATATGCATAAAAGTGCTTTGTCAAATTTAAATTATGAAAGCAGATTTGGTTCATTAATCATCAACAAGGTTATTAAATCTAATCCACTCATTCACCTTCTTGATGACAAAGTCTTGTAACAGGTCTAAACTTGCTCTTCCTCAACTGGTTTTGGGACCAGGCCAGTGCTGTGGCCTTGTTTAGCTGCTAAGGAATAATATCTTCCCATTCTGAACATTTAGAATAATGAATTTGGTTATGGGATACAAGGAACATATGATTAAGCAATTATTTTCTTTTCTCTCTGAAGGATCATCATTAAAAAGTAGTGCTTTCCAGCCAATGGCATTGAAGCTGCACACACGCAGCTCGAAGGGGCCCTTTGCCAGCTGGCCTCATTAAATCCCTGACATGCTCTCCTGCATTTTGTTGTCAGAGTGTGTTCGTTCCTCGATAACTCTGCATTCCTGTCCCAGGGCTCTTAGGTCCACACCTTCATGTTTCTTCCCTCTTGCTGAGTTTGGACTCTTTCTTTGTTGGGTAGAATTTTCTCCTGTGTCTAATCCCATATTTCTCATACTTATTGCTTAAAGAAAAGGAAAACGTTCCACAATTGGTTTGTCCTTTTTTCTGAAAACTGAAGATCCTGATCCCTTGTCTCATCCCAGACCAATCTATCAGAAGGAAACACAGTTCTGTCTACAAAGCTATGGGTTTTCCGTTTCATATGTAGCACCTTCCCTTCCATTCTCCTGGAGAGTACATTGTAGTTTATCTATCATACTCTTAGTGTCATATAAAGGACTTCTGTTAAAAGGCTGAGGATTTATAGGATAAAGAATCATAAAACTAAACCCTGTGGATAAAGCCTGTCCTCTTCTGTGTGACGAGTCATGGCAGGAGGCCTTTGGGAACCCACAAGAGGCAGAGCATGGCAGAGGGTTTCTCATATGTAAAAAGGTTCTTCAGTCACTCTCCTGTCTGAGCTGTTTCATCACTTAGAAAGGCAGAGTGTACCTGTTCTTTGGGTTTGTGGTAAGTAAAAAATTTTTACTCTGTACATGCTTATTACCAATTATAATTTTGACAGGTTACAAACATTACATTATGTTATTATTATATTACAAACATTTGCTTCCATTCTTCCAGTGAATGTGGTAACACACAGAACACTGGATTAATCACACACTAAACACTAAGAGTAAATAGCTCAGAATTATTTAAAATTCTGGCTAGGAAAGAGATTTATTCCAACAGTCATGAATAAAATTTTCTTTAAAAACAATAAAAAAGTGCCATTATGCTAGATCCCCCTAACTTATCTGATCAAACTCCTCAAGGTCAACTTTAGAAAAGAACTAGTTTCAAGTCATAAAGAAAAATCATCAGGGCTCCAGAATCTCAAAAAGTTTGAAAAGTTTCATTAAAAGATCTGAAGATTCCATCTCCCTGCAGTAGAGGTTAGGATGAGTCAAGTGGAGATAAAACAGCAAATCATCTGGGTATTAGATTTCAGACCATAAACCCATTTGCTTTGGCAAGACACTTTAACTTCCAATTTGGTCTGTCCATTAAGTGGCAGAAGAGGAGGTTTTCAATGAAAGGTAATTTACAGGTGTGCAATGCAGATAGTTTATTGGGAAGTATTGTGGTCTTGTCTTTGAGGGTGCCTCCTCTTGGGTTATAGAGGTGAGCAAGATGACTCTGCCTGTTTGGCAGAGAGAATGTGAATCACATGTGACTAAATTTTCGGACAGATTACTGGATGATTGCAGGCAGGGTGGGATGAATAAAACCTGGACCTACAATGCTTTGAGAAGAAATGGTTGCTTGGTTCCAAAAAGTTCTTTTCTTCTTGTTTCTCCTTTTACTCCTCTCTAAGATTTCTTGTGATGAAGATTTATTGCCACCAAATTCAAATTCTGCAACCCCAAAGCCTCAGGCTGACACTAGCCAGAACCCAAATAATGACTGCATTTATGGAATGATTCAAGCAGTATGGGCTAGATTGGGCAATAGGGGAAAACATTCTAATGTTAAATTGCTTTTAAATAGATATTGTGTAAACAATAGAAACAAACCAGGTGAAATGCCTCTCCATGGACATATAGTGAATATGAATAGTTGTGTTGCTGTGGTTGGTAGATTCTATAATGGAACATGCCTGTAATATAGGAACTTGTTTTGCTTTATTTCTTCCCTCCATAAGTAGTTGACTCTTTCATATGTAAAAATTATGTTTCCTTTTGTTAGCAGTAATGGACTTCGATTAAATCATGTGTTTTTATCATATCAATTTGTGTAAGTATTTTTATCCAAGTTATTTATAGAACATTTAGGTCTGTCTTTCAAAGGCCTTAGTAATCTTTAATGTTTGCTGGTCTGCTTTTAATTCATCAAAGTCCTCCCTCAACAAGTATTGCAAAACACACACGTGCAGCAGAGATTTTCCCTCTACAATGTATATTTGATATGCTTAATGTTCATCTTTATACACACAGAGGCATATAAGAAATGTGGAGGTTGTCTATAAATTCAAGGAAACATTTAGGTGCACAGTGATACATAGATACATGGGTATAATACTTTATGTACTTGATAAATATTTCATCCCTACCATAAAAAGAGCTTTTTATCAGCTTTGATTGTTTTTTTATTACCTTAAAGTATTGCAGTTGTTTCTCAGTATTCATTGTTCCTTCCTTTTCTTGTCTCAGACAGGAATTGAAGATGAAAAGCTCTGTATCTCTTAGCCACCCTTTCAGTTCTTTGATCCTGACCTCCAGCTGCCTTACCAGGCTTCCACTTTCAGGAGAGAGCAGGTCACGTGGACTGGACCCACTGTGCCCTGCCATTGTGTCCTGGATCTTCTCTCCTAGGGTTTTCTAATGCATCAGATTAAAAAACAAAAAAAAAAAACAAACAAACAAACAAAAAAACCCACCACGAACAACAAAAAAACAAAAACATAGATTAGCTTAGGTACCAGAAACACATTACACTTTTGTTGGTAACAAGAGCCATCCGGAAGCGTCCATCTATACCTGGCCACCTCACTACTGACTTTCAGTTCAGATTAGGTCGCTGTTCCATTTAGTATTTGAATTCTCAGTGCAAGTTGTTCTGAGTACCAGCGGATACTTAAGAAGACCTCATTCCTTATTCACTTACTTTCCTTTAATAGAAAGGAGATTTGGCCCATAGTTCACCAGATAAAAATTCATTTGAATTTTTTTGGTCACAGAGAAAAATTCATTTGAATTCTCATGATAGGACTTTATAGTAAAACAGTCTGCACATAAAACGTTCAGGAGATATAAGTTTAATAAATATACTAAAGAGACCAAGAGTAGATGAAGCATGGAGAATTAACTTCCATTTTTTGTTTTGTGATGTATTCCTGAAACCATATAACTAAAGGGTTTTAAGAAAAGGAAGCCTCCTTGGTGATTTTGTTGATTTTACCTGACTTGGAAATTGTTCAATTCCACAATTCTTTCCATTTTGCATTTCTGGATGCTGGACTTTCTAATACCGAATATGTGTTAAAATAATCCCCAATTCACTATGCCAGAAGCCTACTTAAATTAACCACTATGGCAGGAGAGTGTTGTCAGGGAGGGCTCTTTTCTTTTTTTCTTTCTGGTGGAAAGCACTCCCAATCAATAGGATTTAAATCTATAATGATGAATTAAACCTACAAAAATAAGCTTTAAAACACAAATAAAATTAAGTCAATAAACATTCATCTGGTGTGTAGTGTTCTGTAAATAGTATCTTTAGGAGATTGTAGCAGAAGAATAGCCTTTCTTGGCAACACCCTTGTATTTTCATGGTGACACCCTTGTATTTTCATGGTGAAAATATTGATAATTTGAAGACCCTCAGTGGAATCCAGATTTAGCTATTGTTTTTACGCTGTAACAAAAGTAGCAGCAGGAGGTGAAATCAATGCCCTTGGAGGGTAGGGTCACAAAAAAGAATTTATTGCCACTTTTTTGTTCTGGAACAGTTTGCAATCATAAATTCTTCATAAACAGAATACTTCAGAGAATGGTCTGTCTTCATAAATATACGACAGAGGACATCAATTTCATTTAATTCACAATTTGTGTCAGCACAGCAGATGCCAATGCCTGCCTTGATAGGGTTGTTTAATATGCAATTGAGACAGAGTAATATGCAGCACAGGGGACAAAATTTCACAGATTAAACTGTACGCACCACTGACATTTCATTCTAATGTATTTCCATTCCACACTGTTCACCTTAGATGAAAGTAATATTAAAAACCATATCCCTCTATTTTACTATTGTTAGAAGTTAAAATCCTTGTCTTTAATTTTTTTCATGCCAATTAAAATGTAATCATGCCAATTAAAACAGTATGCCTGGTGGTGTTAGCATGGTACAGGATTTATAAAAAATCTTCCCTCACCCTACTCTCTCACTGCAAACCTGCATGTTGTATTTGAATGATATTTTTGCCAAAATGGCAACTATTTTTAAAGTCTCTGATTTATAAAGGATAGCTAAATATTATTTCTTTTTTCAATATAATATTGACTTAAAATTCTGTTGAGGAAGCAATACACGTGACACAACTTAAACAATTTTCTTAAAATATTATTGTTATTTATCAAATTAGCAATGGATATATTAAAATGCAATGTAAACAGACTTATCACTACTTTATCAAGCACATAACGTTGCTATTCTTATCTATGTACTAAACAACCTTTTAAAATGTCATACACTAACCACATTTCTCCTGTCTGAGATCAATGAATGCTGTAGAATTTGGCAGATTTTGATTTAAGTCACCGTACTATAAATTGAAAGCCATTAATTATTATTAAAAAGCAACAATATGTTAGATGAAAAACTTTTAACATTTTAAGTTACTTTGCACAACTGCAGAGTGTAGTGAATTTAAATGAGAAACAAGGACTTAAACTTGCAGTTTTTTAATCTCCCAGATTAGGCATGGCATAAACAGAATACTGGCATTCCTCCAAATCATCAAGGTACATGAAGAGCTTTTTATTCAAAATATTTTTGGAGTATTATTTATCTAAAAAAAATTTTTTAAGGTAGAAAACTGGAAGGCATGCAAAATTATGCTCCATAACTGACATCGCCCATACTTGGCTGTTATAATTAATTATTTAGGTAATTGACAAATATAGCTTACCCTTGATTTGAAGTGAAGGCAATTTAGGAGAGAAGCTGATGAAAAAATACAGTTTAACTTTTCTCTCAGCTGTCTTCCAACAAAAGGACAGCACTGTCTCCTGCACAGTGCCATCCTGGTCTCTGGGTAACAGAATCTCTATATTGCCTTTTTGCCAGATTCTTGCATCTCAGTCTTTGGCTGAGACCCAGCCCATCATTGCGTGAAATGAATTACATGAAACTTTTTTCTTTTTTTTTTGGCTTTTGTTAAAAGTGAGCTGGAAATTGAGGCACAAAACACAGGCTGATTCAATTCTGCAATTCAGATTTGGGTCAAATTTGCATCTTTGTTTTGGTAGCTTTAGTGTGACTTGAAAGCTGTAGTGACAACTCCACTTTTCATCTTAAGGGTACAGTAAATAGTTAAACAGTAGATGTCTCTTACATGTACCTTCAGAATAAATTCTATTAACATTCATTCAAGCATGACAGTCAGTATATATCAGATATACTGTATTATAGTTGACTTGGTGCATACCCATAATACATGGAATATTTTACTTACTTTTTCATGTATTAAAGAACCAAAATTATTAAAATCTGAGAGGAGACAAGCTCAGAAAAAAAAAATCAACAGAAGAGGAAAAGCAGTGTCTTTCCCATAATAGCATGAATAGCTTGTTTGAAATGTAGGTAGTGAATTGAAAGAGAGAGATATTTGTGCCTCAAATTAGAAATCAGACAGATAGAGTACTTCACTACGCAAAAAATGTACACATAACCTACAAACAGTAATAAAAATGCAAATACCCCAAGCAGTTCCCATTTTTCATTAATTGAATCCACTTTTTCAAGGAGATCATTTGGTAGTAAAACGCCACCTTTCTTCAAAGCTTCAACCTTACTAAGCAGCTCCGTCTTTTTCAGGTGTCTGATGGACATTTCCACACTGTATCGCTAAAATGAAAAGAGAAAAAGAGATATCATTAGGGAGAGAGGTGTTCTTAGAAAATCATTGAACACAGAATTTGTGATGCTTATGAGCATTAAAAGTTTTTGTTCCCAATAAAATTTATGGGGAGGCTAAACGTAAGTACTTTGAGTAGATGAAGAATATTGCTGAATATATTATACACACACACATACACACACACACACACAGTTATTACATTTAGTTGACTAAGATTTCTTTCTTAAACTCAAGTTTATACACATATTTGATCTTTAAAATATTCCAAATAGGACAATAACTGGTCTAGGGGGGTTTAATATTACAGTTAATTTTGGTCATCATTTGGCTCCAGAGTGCTGTCCACCTCTCATCTCTGCCCCTAAAGGACCAGTCTCAAAGTGGAAGAAATAAAATTATTCATGAAGATTATGTAAGTTCTCTGAATTCTCAGTTAACATTTTGTTTTCATTTTCTTTTCCTTAAAAATTCTGTGTGGGCTTGGAGAAAAGGTACACATAGAGAGAAAAAGGAAAGCCACCATTTTAGGTATAGTTACAAATCTATGTTTCCTTACTGATTACTGTAAAATATCCCCCAAATCATAGTTGACTACAGAACCCTCTCCCCAAGTATGTATTATATTCTAACAAACTGCCAAGAGAGTCTCTCCTAAAAGATGTTTTGCTGGAGATAATGTAAGTGCTATTTAATATGACAGTTACTATGGTGATTCTCTTCAAATAACTCTATTTGGATAACTCCATAGTTAGTCCTATATTATGGATAGCCATAAATGACTATGACTGTACTTTATAAATGTACATGTAAAAACACCTCTGAGTAGAAAATCTAGATTCTGGTTAAAATATTAAACATATTTTACATTTTTAGCACATTTCCAAAATATAATAGCAATTTTAAAACTTTTTTCTTTCAGGCACCATATTTAGGTCACTGAGTTCCATGGTAGTATTTGTTCCTTTGCCCTAAATGACCAAGGGTGCCCTAAGATAAACACTTTTATCAGAGTTAATAAGAAAAACTTTTCTCTGGAAATAAGTAAATCAGTAAGTTCAAATGTGCCCAAGCACTTGGGTGATTTCATTCACCTTGAAAACATGATATTATATAAGATTCCAAACAAAAATACAATTGGAAGCAGATTAAAGGAAAAGAAGGTGTGAAATCACTGTTTCGGTTAATAGATCTTCAGCATTTGCATGCATATGTTTGCATACTTTTAGTTTCATATTTTAATCTTTCATTTACACTAAACATGCACATCATTTGTATTATGTAAACTTCTCCAAATGTTAGTCATTTGTGGATCACAGAACAAAATGTTTTAAATGAGGTGATTTAAAGCATTTCATATTATTAATGAATGTTGATCAGGGTGTCAGAGTATCCAAAATTACATGAATATGCATAGTGGAGAAAATCAAGGGTTACTTTAGAGCGCTTTTAGAATTTGGCCTGTGATACAAGAGAAATTCTGATTGCGTTTTCTAATGGAAGGCAATTACCAGGGCCATGTTACTCCAGCACTTAGGAAACACACTGTCCACTTGAATTTTCTGGATTCAATATTCAGAAGTATTCTAGAAACCTAGATAGTGTTTCTAGAGTGATGTGATGATTGGAGGAGATGACAATCTGCTTTATGCAATTAGGTTCCCATCTGAAATGATATAGCTGACAAACATTTACATAATTAATTTGGTAAGATTTCCACATAATATTGGGGGAACCAGTATTTCAGGCAGGCAGGAAAATCTTATTCAAATATTTTACTTATGCCACATGGTATCACACATTGACAGAGAGAGTCCTCTGGCTGTGCCACTTGGGAATGGCCTCTACCAGTTATCCTTTAACTTGTGACAAGCTCATCCCCCCTCTTCACCCCAACTTTAAACAGCTCTCACACAGCAGACCAGTCAAGAAAGGAAACAGCTTAGATGTGTCCCATAAAAACGACAGTCTTACACAAATAAAAATATAAAAAGCAATTAATTTAATTTTAGATGTAATAAACTAATCTTCTCCATTAAATGTGTATAAGTAGTCACTGCAATAGCTATTATAAAAGGTTATTACATTTAAAAGAAACTTGTCTTTATGTATGCTGTCAGTCTTTGTCACCATATAGCCTACTGTCTAAATAGCTTGATGAAAGGTGTGATTGATGGACAATGCCTTCAAACTATAATATAAAAACTAAGAGGATCTAGTTAATTGTTCGATGTATTGATATATGAATGAAAGGTACTAAAATGTTATATAATTTAAGGTGAAAATATTTATTTTAAGTTTTGAAGCACATTCAAGGTTAAATCTAGTACGATTTAGGGGCTCAAGCTGTATGTGTAATAATGTCAGGAGCTTCTATTTTTGTTGATGCTAGTATGTTTTTGCTCTTCTGTCTCTTAACATCTTTTCAGAAGCATTAGACTCAGAGAATCAACTGCCAGCTCTATCAGTTTTCGGTCATCCTATCAAGTGGGGCTACTTTATCCTGTGGTGAGAAGATAATTTAATCTTCATATTCATTCCACCCACAGCAGTAAGTGAGCAGAGGCTGCCCCATTGTGTCCTGTAGTCTGGGGATGTTATGATATAGACTACTCTTCAATAGGCAAAAATGAGATTAGCAAAGTTAAAGTCAGAAAGCTTTTCTTGAGTGCTAAGGTAAATAAGCATCCAGTATTTAATTTCCCCACAGCACCTGCTGTGGGCCTCTCTGTCTAGTCAAAAATAAAATATACTCTCTTGAAAGGCCATATTTACATTATTAAGTGTATTTGCTTGGCCAATTCAATTTTGACTAATGAAGCCTCCTAATAGATATGTGAATGATCTAAATTAAAGACACAGGACACTACTATTCTAAATGTCATCCCTGTGTATAAAATATAAATAAAATTAAAAAAAAAAAAAGAGTTAAAAATAACTACAAACTCTAGCCCACCATTTTAACTAAGAACTAAAGAAGTTGTAGAAAATTCCTATTGAGTGCTTTACTTAGCACAAATGCTAAAACTGAATTATAAAACAAGGTCAGCAAAAACAGGAATTTCTGAACTAAACATACTTAGAAATGCATGAAGACTTGATTGAGATAACTTTTTTGACAGTTATGCTAAAGGCTTCCCCGCCACACCGAAGTCCCCCTCCTTTTTTTTTGTTAGAAATCACACCGAAAATTCTGCCCAAATGGAGACTGGAACAATGCCTTGAAACAGTGTTAATTGTCACCATGGAAACCAGAAGAATAAGCCATTTTGAAACTGGTATAGAAGGCACACATTGAGCAACTCAAGCATTTTTCTGCCTCCCTCAATGTTAAGGAACAAGATGCCTTGTCACTGTGAGGTCAGAGAAAGAAAACATCATGAAAGAGTTGTAGATGCTCACTGTCTGGTAAATAAAAAAAATAAAAAATAAACTATATACAGCTAATGCTATAAGACTCTACCCAGTGAAATCTTTTTGAAACAGAAGGATCATCAAAAGATGGCCAGGATTGGGGGATGGCTTCCACCTAAGCAAAACTTCAGGGCTATATTATGTGAACCTTGCCCCCAAAGCTCCCTGGGAATTCTGCTGTTGTAATAAAACTTCAGAAGAGGAAAGAAAAAAGGCAGCATGATGGAATTCAAAATAATGCTCTAAAAGCACACAGAGAGATTAAGACATCCATTGTAAGACTTTTGTATGGTGCTTCTGTTGGTTATGCTGAAAAGAGACCAGACATTGCTGAACAGAGAGTGAAGCTTTGGCTGCGAGAAACACACAAATTAAACTAAAGACATTTCTTGATTATTAGAATAGGGCTGTTGTATTCTGTGTCATCAGGGTTTCAGCATTTATATCTTATACCATATTACTTTTAACTGAGCTTCAGTTGACTTTATATTAGGAAAAGTGAAAACAAGGGAAATGATCTAGTTATTAGAATGACAGGATTGAATGTCTTTCCTGGTACAAATAATGCCACAAACACCTGTTTACCCAGCGAGATTCCCTTTCCCATATACACATGATTGACTGATAGATACGATCGATCTATCGATAGATAGATAGATAGATAGATAGATAGATAGATAGATAGATAGATAGATAGAATACACTGAGAAAATAAAATATATCTTACTTAGTCTATCAGTAAGAAAGCAAATGCTAGGAACACACCAAAACACCAAACTATTGGCAAAATAATGTGTGAAAATACGCATTTTTGCCAAAAAAAAATCCAGGGATGTGTCTATTTACAACTCTCACGTGTTTTCTGGCTAGTGTTTGCCCTCTTCATTCGAGGCTTCATGGTGGCCCCTCAGCAAGTCCATGCCTAATGCCATTCAGTGGTGAACAAAGAGTCTTTTTATATAAAAGTCCAGGGTCCAAGCTCAGCTGTACATGCAGAGTGCAGGAATCTGCTAGAGGCCAGTGTTGCCTTTGCAGCAGCTCTTGTGCTGCCCCCCTTTTCAGAAGACTTGTGTGTAGCATCTCACAATGCATATGATGCTGCACATGGAGTCAGTACCACCAACACATCCAGAAGATGTTCAAAATTGAAGAAAAGGGTTCAAGTCCAAGACAAATAATAGTCGTTATTTCTTGCAAACTCCTTGTATTTTATCATTAGAATTTATGGTGAGTAATTGCATAGAGAAATTATAAAGACTCCTACAATTGTCCTTGTAAATTAATAATAGGTTTTCCTGATTGGGATAAATTTGCTGCTGAGCCTTTGGAAAAATTAAAAAGTGCAATGTCATTTAAAATTGCCAGAACTCGCACAGCAAATTACACCTGAGGTTAAGAATTGAGTTTTCCCCCTCTTCTAGCTTATTCCATTTGCATGATCTGGAAATCACATTACACTGGCCATGTACTGTTAATTGGACATAGATTGCATTATCTTTAATATAAATCAAACTACAAATATTAAAATGAATTGCAAATTCCCTAATAGAAGATCATAAAACAATCTTTTTTAAAG